TTTCCTTAAAAAGAAATTCAATGACGCAAACCACTTCTTCCTAGTTTAAACGACTGTCAAGTTATTTGACAATTTTTTTTTGGCAAAATTTTTTTTGTCAAAATTTTTTTTTGTCAAAGTTTTTTTTGTCAATTTTAATTTTCAAAAATTTTTTTTGGCAATTTTTATGTCAAAATATTTGTAAAAAATGCCGGCAATTCAAGATTGCACCAAATTCATAGTTTCTCTAGGCCAGCTGCCGGCTGCCAGCTTTACGAAAACAGTGGAAAAAGATGGTAATAATAAGAGACGTTAACTTCTATCATTATGTAGCGTTTTAAAATAATTACTTTACATTAAACACCTTTTATTTATACTTTTAAGGTAATTTCAATATAAGTTAGCCCCACTGCTTATGCAACATTCATTACTAAGATAAATTTTGATAAAAATCGGATCATTGTTGATCGATAAACGTCAATATCTAACAAGTCAGGTAGAAGTCAAGGCCTTTTTTTTGGGTTTTGGAGAATTACGTTGGTTAGCGTAAGATACCAATTTGGGGTTGTCCATTTTTCCAATCAGTTACGATTTTGGTTAAATATCCTCGAGGATTAGATGTAAACCAAATTCAACTTGGAAGCTGAGGAGACTTGGATAGCCGTTCTATCAGTTCTGATTCGTCCCTCACCCATGTCCTTGGTGCTAAAGTCAACCCCGAGAAGCTGAGGAAACTTAAGGTGCTGCAAATTCAGATTCGTCCCTCGTCCCTGTCCTTGGCACGATATTCATCGGCCAACTTGATCTCAAGAAGCCGACAGCTAAGGCGATTTACGTGTCTGCGTCCATTTGTGGACTTGTACAGATAAGCCCCTAATACTTCCTTATTTGTTTAGTTATTTTTTTTCAGTCAGTCAGTTCAGACAACGCTTTTAAATAGACATTTAAAGTAAATGCGTCTACCTACATAAAATAAATTTTAGTTGTAGGTAGCGATATAGTCAAGACTTTCATTTTCCTGTTCTTATTTTATTTTTTTTAAACTGTTGTTTAATAAATGTTAAATCATTGAGTTTTTATTTAGATTTGGAGTGAGGGTAGCCATATGTGAGTAGTAGGGATTAAGTGTAAAGGTTAAAGAAAAGGTCCTTTATTTCTCACAAGTCAATTTATTGGCGACCGGTTTCGAAGTTGTCACTTCATCATCAGGCACACCTAAATGGAATGTCAAGGAGTCAGTTGTAATAAAAACAATTATAAAAGCATGAACGGACTTTAACATATACAAAATAACAGAAAAAACACAAAAGAAAGTTAAACAATAACCTTGACTCACCTTGACTAATTCCATAAAGGAAGCGCTACAAAAAGTTTAACAGAACGAGTTAAAAAAGTCATGTGTAATAAGTATTTTTTAAAGAAATTTTAATGTAGGTTAGGTTAAACCACCAGATGTCTTTTTGAATAAAATAATTAGTGTTGTTTAGTTAATAATTGTCTTAAATGTGTTTTAATTAATTATTTTATTCAAAAAGACATCTGGTGGTTTAACCTAACCTACATTAAAATTTCTTTAAAAAATACTTATTACACATGACTTTTTTAACTCGTTCTGTTAAACTTTTTGTAGCGCTTCCTTTATGGAATTAGTCAAGGTGAGTCAAGGTTATTGTTTAACTTTCTTTTGTGTTTTTTCTGTTATTTTGTATATGTTAAAGTCCGTTCATGCTTTTATAATTGTTTTTATTACAACTGACTCCTTGACATTCCATTTAGGTGTGCCTGATGATGAAGTGACAACTTCGAAACCGGTCGCCAATAAATTGACTTGTGAGAAATAAAGGACCTTTTCTTTAACCTTTACACTTAATTTTTATTTAGAATTTGTACGTAAAGACCTATCCAAATATTACATATTTGTACAGAGGATACCTAGTTCATAGAACTCTTATTCTTCTCTGGATTCTAGGCTTGGAACTTCATATACTATAGAATCCAGTGGCGCCCTATAACCAATTTTTCTAAATTTAATCCTAACTATTTTTATTCATTCAAGCTTAAGTTTTTACTAATTTAATTATCTAATTTCGAACCTGCGACGCTCTCCGACGAACAGCTCCGGCATATGTAGTTTTAATGCTACAATTAGACCAACAGTAGTTTACCTCATTTGGTCCATAAGTGGTGGATAAGTTTTGGCCCAAAATACAATTATTCGTCCCCTTAATTTCCCCCCCCCCCCCCCTTACATCACTAGGCTATTAGTTTCCCAGCAATAATGTGTTTGTTGTGAATTTATTATCAAAGCCAGAATTGCACAATCTCCTAATATTTGAATTTAGTTTTAACTTTTCATTTATTATTCAAGTAAAAGGTTGCATTAGTAAAATTATTGATTTCTTTATAAAAATTATTGAAAAAATATTTAAATGAGTAGAACTGGCGCTTATGGTTGAACCACAAACAAGAAAACAAGTCTCGCCTATCATTCAGACACCTCCTTTTATTTATCTATGGCTCGATCCGTCCCTGTATCTACGTGTGAATACTGTGACATGTATATTTATTTAACAGTTCCATTTTTGCGACCCGACCTCTCGAGCCTATGCATATATATTTGCCGAAGTCACATTTGCACGTTTATCAGCGCACGAGCAACGAAACATACTAGTAAATCTTCCTCCGTCGTAACAAACGACGCTGTTACCTCGGCTAAATAAGACTTTTGACACTGTTTATATTTTCCGTTGTGCACATTTGCTAATTTACAGTCGTCTCATATGCCGACAAAAGTTCCCGTGATATCATATAACTCGTATATTTTACGACTTTTCTTCACGTGTTTTGAATTTTCCTGTTGCTTCTTGACGTCTCGTCTGTTTGGTGTTTTAGTGCGCCGAGTTTCTATGTGGTTATATTTTTCAGGATGCTACAAAGTTTATTAGGGCTTTCAAGAGTTTCCTTAAATTAAAGATAACGTACTTTAGAGACATCATGATTTTTTTTTTGTATAACATTCATTTCCGTCTCGTCTAACTTATCTTTTTCCTAGAGATAACCGAACGGAATGTGTTGGCCTTTTATATTAGCTCAAAAAACAATATTTCAAATCTAAAATCACGTAGGTACAATATAGATGCAGAAATATAGTGGCAAATATCGAATGTAGCCTACAAAAAAATTGTCAACAACAATCAGATGTCTAATTTGTATCATGGATGAGAAAAGTTTCGGTTTCACAATAAATCCGACATATTTTTCTTTTACGCCTTTTTCGCCTTTATCTTTAATATGAAAATATATTCGATTGTGATAGTGCCCTTCTGAACATATCATATTTCATTTTTAATTAGTGAACAAATTGTCCAGAAACCTTAAAATACCCCCGAATAAGAAACTTAGGGGCAAGAGTCAGTCGCAGCACCATGAATGGATGTTGTTAAGATCATTCTGAAGTGCTTGATGGTTGTGAAGAGGGTTGGCAAATATTTTTGTAAATATTTTTGTATCATCGGCATAAAAACGTATTGAGGATGAAACTAGCGCTTTAAGGTCGCTTACGTAAGCAGTAAACAACAAAGGGCCGAGAACCGAGCCCTGTGGAACACCACTTGAGACTGGTCTTTCTAAGGAGAACTCGCTACCAACTCTTACTTTAAAAGATCTGTCGGTTAGAAACTTTAAGACCAATTATAAAGGTTACCGCGGATGCCTAGATGTTCCAGTTTATGAAGTAGTCTAGATAAATGACATCGATAGGCTTTTTATCGTCAATGGATTTCGTCCAATTATTAATACAATAGAGGAAGTTGGTAAGAGTCGATCTTCTTTTAATGAAGCCGTGTTGTTGTTGATGAGGTATAATATTTTCATGGGTTAAAAAAGAGGACGTTTTTTTCGGCAACAATTGATTCCATAACCTTGCAAATAACTGGTAGGAGGCTGATCGGGCGGCAGTTATTGGGATCAAGTTTATTGCCTTTTTTAAAGATCGGAGTAACAGATGCAGATTTCCAGGAGGAGGGAAGATAACCTAGAGTAAAGGATGTATTCATTATTATAGAAAGAGAGTATGACAGAACGCTTGCGCATTTTTTAAGAAATAAGGTGTTAAGCCGTCAAGGCCAGGTGATGAGTTAGCTTTAATACCTACTAAATTATTTTTGATTTGGGTTTCAGTTAAAAATATATGTTCAAGTGAAGCTAAATTACGTGTAGTAATAATATGGGGTAGTACATAGTTTGGTGGCTCGATGGTGCATAAACTTCCATCAGTCGTTTGAAGAAAAGGAGTGGCCACTTTGGATGAGAGAGAAGAACGGATGTATTTAAATTTTTTTTAGTATTGTCACTGTTAGCAATTGATTAATGTAACAATTTATTAATTTTCTTTTTTATAACATTTTTGTAGCATTTTACTAACAAGTACACAAAGATTCTTTATGAGACGAGGCCGAAATATTAAGGATTAAACGAACTTACCTTATATGAAGTTCAATCTTAATTACATGTGGGTCGAAATAAATAAGATCCTTTTCAATAATAAACACTAATATTTTATTAAAAAATAATAAAATAATAAATAAGTATTCTAGTGCCTAGAATTCTAAGCATGCATTTGTGTTTTATACAAACGGCTATCTTGAATTTGTATACATCAATTTTTAAGGAACATAATGAGATATATTCGGTTACTACAATAGCAAATTATAGAAAACACCATTTCTATCAAACAGAAGAAATTCAAAAATTGGTTTTTAAATTAAAATTAAATCACTTAGTTAAGAGAACAAAACTTTTCTACCATTGATATAATTAAGTTTATTAAAATCTTGATATAAGGCGGTAAAGATGATAGACTATTCTGATTAAATCTGTTGCTGTACAGTTTGTCCCGTCTTATTAGAGTCATTTTAAATCGTGTTAATATAGTGAACATCTTTAACTTAATGATAATGTTGTAACTGCTGTAGTATATTTGTTGATTACCTAACAATATTTATAAAGGTTAATTTTATTTAATGCAAATAAGTAACTGTATTATATTTTTAGTCGAGTTTTGTAAACGTTTCTTGTTTGGCAATATTGTTTTTTTGTTATCAATAAATACAAAATGTGAAGCATTTGTAATGATTACAAGCTGATATGTAACCTAACCTATCTAGTATTGAAAAGTTTCAAAAACTATTATTATTATTCATTTTACTACCGCTAATATAAACCATACTAGTATCTGCTTTTTTTTTGACTGAATTAACTTAAAAGGTTTAGGTCTTACTAAATTAGCGTGCTTGAGGAACTGGATAATCTTAACATCTCCATGTTGAAGCAGTCATTGTTGTCTTTTCAACCGTCTCCACTTTATAGTCTCTATGGAGATCAGTGTTATGGCAGTACGAAGGTACACGGACGTTGTTCCTCAATACTTTATTTTTAAAACGTTAAAAAAGTTTTTTAATATCTCTTTTAGTTGCAAGTATATATTAATTAAAATGAAGGAAAATAAAAATATTGTCAAGTGACAATTTTCTTCTATTTAATAAGTAAATTATTTTGATTTCATTATAACTACATAAAACTTATATCATAACATTTAAATTTATCAGGCCGGTCACATGTAATATGTCTTAGTCTTCGCTAGATGCAAGATCTCATTAGAGTTTGTGCTAATGCGTTGTGGGTTATTTTCAATGCGTCGAGAACACTACTAGAAAAAGTAGATTATTTATTCTTTAACTTACTTCATTTGAACGATTACAAAGAATAGTATTAATGGATACATTTCATGAATCATTCACAAAAATTCTGAGTACTTTGAACCACTTGGATGTCACTTTAACTAGATACTATACGTCCAAACGAGTTTTAATTTCTGCTTCTAAAGCAGCAGTGTGTTATGCAGAGACAACCAAGCTCTTTCAGCCTACAGCATCATGCAAGTGATGTACACAGATATTTTTCTGAATTTGCATAAGGAAACTGTTAGTCATTTATTTTAGTATGTTAGTAGTATAGTTATACCGAGTCTGTAATACTATGGTAACCCTACCATCGACCTTCCACGCCACATCTTCCAAAAAATCAAACTAAAAGTGGTGACATTAGACGACAGGCGAGTGCTGGACGAAGAGAACAGCAGAAAAGTGTGCCAAAGTGTCACAAAAGGTGCGTTTTACCTTTTTAGGCGTGAGAAGAAGTGAAGGTTCATGACCAGAGGGTGTAGAAGAATCAACAATGACTAGAGGGTATATGCGAATCAAGGATTAACCTGTATAAATGCAAAACTCGCTTGTCTCGTGATCTCTTCTTCTTTCCCATATAGGATACTACGTGCCTCGCCTATTGCGTAAAGATTAGCGCAATAGGTAAGATACGTGGTATGGGAAAGAAGAAGAGATCAAGAGATAAGCGAGTTTTGCATTTATACAGGGTGAGTCATGCTTCGGCTATAACCTCTGGTCATTACTGATTATTGTACACCCTCTGGTCATAGATCTTTTCTTCCATTTATTCTATACCGTACCTCTGCTATCATTAGGGGAAAGTTAACATATCGTATAGTAAAAATGGAGCTATAATGAAGTTAGTTAAAGAAAATAAGGGAACAATTTGAAAATAAAGAAAATGTTTGGAAAAAGGAATGAGGGGTTAACCAAAAATCAAACAGTTCTTAGGAACACTAGCTCGAGGTAACTTTGCTGTAGGAAAACATGTTAATTAAGTCTTTGTTGCGTAACAAATGTAGCTAGGCTGTTGGACACTATATTATAATTTCTACAATTTCCTGAAAGACCAAATATTACACAAATTATTTCGATATTGAGTTTTGAATCTCAGATGTTTAAGTGGGACATTCTCTATATAAAATATTTATATACACGATTTTAAAGTGAAAAGAAAAAGCACAATAACTAGACAGTTGCTTGTAGGGAATTAAAATCAAATTTATCAAAAAGAATTTTTGACGAGGTATGAGTACCGCCGCTACGTTTGTGTTATTATAATGGTTTGTATTTGGTTAGAATGCATTAGTATCGAAATTGACTAACAATGACTGTCAGTTTTTTATACATCACGTTGAAATTGAAACTATATAATATGTTGTGATTAATTGTGACCAGTGCCAGGGGCAGTTTCAGTTTAAACGTCTGATTTAATTTATTATTAAATATGCTACAAAAACTATTGTTAAATATTATTTATCTATAATTATTATTAGCTCTGCAGGCCTAAAAGGGTCCTTGGTGTTAAATTTTTCAATTTCCTTCTGTTTCTTTTTTGTTTTTCTCGCCAGTTGTTAATCTTCAGCACCTCGTTCATCCATATTATTTTTAGTCTTCCTCGTTTTATCTATCACAAACAGGTGATGCAACAGTAAAAATAATACAAGTATATTCAATCACTTAAATACTTTTCTACTAATTTATTAATGCTGATCCATCATAACTATAAAGATTTTTAAATTATACTTTCATTGATTTTCCCCAGATCTGGGGAAATTTGTAGAGTAGATCCGACAACATCGCATCGCATGAATCAATGGTTTACCCAATAATTCTCCAAAAACTTGTCGGTAAATGGTAACCCCGTTTCTCTGTGTGCAAATTATGAGTAATTTAAATCGAAAATACTGTTGTTTCGTTTACTTAAATTGAATAGTAATTTTAAAAAATCATATTAAATACTCCAGTAGACATAAAATATGTAACTCGATTATATAGTCGTTTCCGAGAAACTATTAAAATACGAAATTAAATTGACAAGCACATAGAAAAAGTAATCCCACCGTTTGAGCTTCAAATTTTCCATTCTCATATTTTTCTAACAGCGACTGAACGTTTCCAACAATAGCTCATTTCCTCCGGAGGCGAAATAATTCTTATGCAAAATAATTAAAGTTTTCCAGCTAGAAACCCAAAAAGAAATCCCCATCTTCGTTGCAAGTGTCTAACTTCTAAATTTACGGCGAAATCTCGTCTCTAAAAATTTCAATGGAACTAAATGAATCGAAACGGCTTTCACTCAAAACCAATTTAGCGAGAAACTATGCAAAAAAAGTGTCGAAACTTTCGTTGTAGTTGTCGGAAAAATGTTTTCGTATGCCGCCGCTGCTGTTGGAAAAACGCTTTTGTCTGTAAGCTCTGATTAAATATTTTAAATTTAGAACCATAATATTTTAAGGCAGATGAACAATGAAGAAGATATTTCAAATATTTATACCTTTAATAATATTCAAAAAGGAAATTTAAATACGTATACTTTGTTTTACGTCAGTTGTTATGATGAATATTTAAGGGTTTGTAAAACTAGACTAAATATTAAAGGCAACAAAAGTGCTTTAGAGGATTCTGATTTGTGAGGTTCTTTGTTACCTACCGGGTCAATAGTACCCGTATTCCAATTGACCAAGTGTTCGTGAAAATATAAGTAAAAACCCTAGATGCGAATTCATCTCTGGGTTTCCACAATAACCGAGAAATGTGACTCACACGCCGCAAAGGGATCACTCCGCTATAGTCTATTTTTATGTATGAGAGAGTATTAAAATAATAAAGCGTTCTTAATCCATAGGCGTACCACTTCTTTTAGTAGACAGTTAAAATATTTTTTGAAGTTATTCCTCGAGTATACACTTATATTTTCACCTAATTAACCTGCTTATAAATTCTAAACAGCTGAAGGTAAAAAAGTGCAATTTTTTCTAAAATGTTTTATTTTTCCACAAGGTATGTTAAGAACATTGTGTCAAACGGGTTATGTAGGTATAAGGGTTTAAACTTTGACTTTTAAACAACGTTACGTTCATAAATAATAATTTTAATATAAAAACTACTTCTTACCTACAAATCCAAATCAGAATCGAAATCAGAAGATGAACTGTCGCAACCAATATTTACAATGAGTGACTCGATCATTTCATCAGTAATATTGTCCAACTTCCACATTTTCTCTTCTTCTTTAATCGTATGATTTACTGCCTTTTCCCAGTTTTCAGGCTTCACATTATTTACAGCCTCCAAAAACAACTGTTTAACATCACTCATTTTAAAAGAATTATTTTTTCTTGAAACTTCTCCCTTTATCTGTGCTCATATCAGTTCAATCGGGTTTACTTCGCAATGATATGTTGGTGATCTAACCACCGTCATCCCACGATTTTTTGCAATTTCATATTTTTTGAATTTCTCTTTATGAAGGGAACACAAATGATACAGTTCTTTTCTCACAGAACCGGGATGGAACTTAATATTCTTTGAATTTAGCCAATTCTGTAAATCTTTTTTTAACCACTTGGTTGTGGGCATTTTTTCTATAAGTCTCGAGTGATAACTTGCATTATCCATTACTATTATACAGTTCTGAGGAAGAAGATCTATAATTTGTTCGAACCACTCTTTAAAGACATTAGCATTCATGCCCTCATGGTAGTCACCGGTACGAGTAGATTCAAAAGTCAATAAACCACCTTTAACAATACCGTTTGAACTACCGATGTGTACTATTATTAGTCTGCGCCCCTTTCCTGATAGTGAATTTAAACCAGTAGATAAATTATTTAAAAAAGCCTGTCTTCGACTTGTAACAGTTTCATCTTGCCAAAATTTATTTGGTTTATGTCCCTCGTTGATCCATGTTTCATCTAAATAAAATATATTTCTTCTTTGGTTTCTCATTTCTTTTATAGTCCTTAGGTAATTTCTTCTCCATACTACAATATCGCTTCTTTCTATTAAAATAGACTTTCTGAAATGCTTTTTCCATAGAAAACCTATTTCTTTTAAAAGTTTCCATAGTGTGCTTCGACTCATTTCAGGGTAATCCTTATCATCTCGAACCGTGGCAAGAACTTTGTCTACTGTCGGAAATTTTTTTCTAAAGAAGAACGCATGCAGTTTCCTTCGAAGTCTTTCTTTCAAAAGATTGTATAATTGAAATTTTGGTTTTCCTGGACCTTTACGTGCTGTTTGAAACTCGCCACATTTCTCTTCTTTAACAACTCTGTAAATCGTAGATTTCCCAACACCAAGCGTACTACTAACTAATTCCACTGGGTCATCAACACTTTTACATAAATGTTTGTCTGTAAATGATTTAAAACAATTAAATATTAATATTTTTTCATTAACTGTTAAAGGACCGATTTTTTGTCGTTTACGCGGCCCTTCCAAATTTTCCATGATCACACTAGAATTCACACTGCACCTTGCAACTAAACGACATTTAGTAAACTGTCAAGAATACAAAACTTGGACCTCCTTACTAAATGGAAAACCTATAATCGCATTTTCGGTGAAATTTGTTGGGAAGGTATTTATCTACTTATAATTCGATTACTGTAAGAAATTCTTGGAATTCAAATAAAACAAAATTGGCAAATAGGTACTTATTGAAAATAATCTTAAGATACGGCTATGTAATCTTTAATACACAGGGCTTTTGGCCTGTCCGAACCTTTTTCTATTGTTCTGTACAGCTTATGTTTATAAAGGACCAATAAAATACCCAAAACTTGTAATAGCTCAGGTACATTTATTACAATTTTATGAAATATTTAGAATATTCTGTAAAAATATTTAAAATGACCGTACTAAGTTTTGCATTAGAAATGCTGTTTTATTACTCTCTCATACATAAAAATAGGCTATAGTTTTTCGAAGCGTCAGCGATATACCTAGAATATTTCGGTATTTCGACCATGAGTCTGGTGGCAGTCTTCAAGGTCGCTGACTAGACAGGATTGGCTCCTTGTTAAAATAGTTATAGATTCAGATTTTTGGAATCCAAATTGGTCTATAATTTTCTGAAATTAATTAATACATATTCCCTATTTTTTCAGGTGACGCCATGAGCACTAGCAACAGCCACATGGGCCAAATGATGGACGGACCCAGCTGGTCGAGCCCCTCGGTTAGTCCATCGCCTCCGCCTCCACCGCTACCGCCTCCAGTGGCGGCTCGTTGGGCTCGTACGGAACAAGCTAGCAACGAATGCTGTCCGCATTGCAGAGGAAGAATGACATCACTTCCTACTAGGACTACGTCACTAAACAGCTACAGTTACAAAGGTAGGTGAAAATTTACTTTTTCTACAACCTTCTATGAAGAGAATAACTTTTGTGGATACAATTTATGTTATTACCTTAATAGACCAGGGTCGATAATTTTTGATACAAAAAAAATTATAGTAGTATGAAACCCATTGGAAAAGAACAGAAATCAAATCACGACTGGTGAAAGATTGTCTAGAAGACCTGACAGCTAAGTAGTCAAAATAAGGTGACCTTAGCCTGAGTTCCAGGCCATGAGGGATATCAGAGCAACGAAAAGGCCGACGAATTAGCCCGAGGAGACTCAGATAAGGCCATAACAGGCCCCGAACCCTTCTGTTGAGTTGCTAAGGCATTGTGCAAGGCATCCATTAAACAATGGATGCAAAAAGAGTCTCAGGAATGGTGGAACAACTATCCAATGCTGAGACACGCCAAACAGTTCATCAAGGAATCATCTGCCAAGTTCATGAAAGACCTACTGGATCAAAAGCATCAAATCGTTAGGATAACAGTAGGCCTTCTTACTGGACACTGTTGCCTCAAAAGGCACATGAGTGTGTCATAAATCCAGCAGAAGAAGCAACTTTGTGCAATTTCTGTGAAGAAGAAGAGGAAACATCATTCCACGTTCTGTGCTAATGTGAAGGCCTGGCTGGAATGAGGTTTCTAACATTGGGCGAAGAAAAGCCAATTGCATGCAAATACATGCGAGACCCACTGTCAAAGCTACTAAGTCTAATAAAAAAGACCAGGCTAGACGACAGACTCTAAAACAAACGGAGTCCCACAATAGATCTGAAAAGGTCGCAGTGGACAAGGGCAAATAACGTCCAACTCCTAATCTAATCTAATTTAACCCATTGGAAAATGAAAAGAATATAACAAAAATAAAAGGAAGAATAATTTACGGGCAATCTGAGGTCGGTAAGTGAAAGGGGGTGAGTTTTTAAGGGTAAAAAACGGTTTATCTCGATTTCCGGCAAAACTACAAAACCTATGAAAAAAGTTAAATAACAAAGTGGTAGTTAATTAAAAGGTCTACCACTTTTGTATTGACACTTATTTTTTTTTCACAATATTTGGTAAAAACTTACCTTTCTATGTCCCAAACATACTTTAATTTTTTCGATTTAAAATATTTATTTTTTCACCTTGTTTTGACTAATTTTCAATCGAAAATTCTCCCGTCAAAACATCTGCTTTTTTAAAAAAGACGATGGGCTTTTTGTTAGTTGAAATCTCTACTTTTTGATAGTGTAAAAAAATATATATTCATTACCATGGTAAATGTTTTCAGAAAATGTAAAGAAATGAAAAAAACTCGAATACGCAAAAATATATTACTATAAATTTCACACAAAATTAACAATTATAATTAATAATAATACTAATGAATTAATCATTAAACAACGTAAAAAAAATAATATTGAATTTTAACAATCCAGTTTTATAATTTTATTATATCCCCTTCCTTTTTCAACTATAATTTTTTTGTTTCAAAAATTATCGACCATGGTCTATTTTGCAACTTTTTGACTTTAAAAATGAATCTACGTTTATTGACTAAAACAATAATTGAACATTCCATTGGGACAAAAACAATATTTTTTTTTAAGTGGGTTTAATAATTATGTGCATTTTGTTGTAAAACGAAAATACCAATTTCTGTTTTTGTGGAGATATCGTTTTTCACAAAGTAATGAATAATTATAATAATTTTATACAACGATCAATAATTCAATACAAAAAGCCGCTGGAACAATATTTATTTGGTACATTCTATTATACATTCACACAAATAAAAACTAGCTAAATATACTGATGGGAATTTAAATTCCGTATAATCTGATATAGCTTTAAAATAAACTGAATTTATAATACAATTTTGAAAAAATATGATCATGCAAATGGACCAAAAGGATTAATAATAAATAATTTTAATCGTGCGGCAAATAAAATTATCAAAATAAATAACATGTGGGAAAATGTTTCTCTTATTCTTTGGTAACAAAATATACATTTATCTTTGGAATGTGTTTATTAATTATCTAAAATGTGGCATATAACAATTTAATATCTACCCTTCTGTAAACGAAACATCAAAATGTCACTAACACTAATTTTTTAAAAATCCATTTAAACAATATTTACAATTACACTATAAAAATGATGAAAAATAGCAATGTCCTCACTTTGTGTTGATGATATATGGGTGGTTAATATAGGTATGTGGTAGTATATTTTTTTTCTCGTTGTTTTCTTCAAATTCTTCAAATTTCTAAATTTAAAGTGTCCAGATCATAATAAATTTACATTAGCTACTATAATGATCTCATCTGTTTAAAATTGCTGTCCTAACAACTCCTTTCTGCTCTTGTGACAATTATGAAGCTAGTCATGGCTCAACAAGTTTACAAAAAATAGGTTAAGTGAAAAAAAATGACATAAAACAAACTTTAATTAAGTGTATGTAGGTAAAGGCCATCTAGACACTATGGGTTGAAATCCAAATATAAATAATTAATCAAATAAAAAGAAAAATTATAACGATAGATATCTGAGAAATAATCCGACTACATCAACTCACAATTTTTTCCATCCCAGCACCGCAAATACGAGTTCGGTTTATTGACTCCGCGGGCCTGCGAAATAGCAATTTGCGGCGTCTTTAAATATTTGTTGAGAATGAGCGGTTCATCATTTCCCGAACTTTCCCAATATACGATATAAAGGAAAAGTCTTTTCCACAACATAAAGAGTACATTTCATCGGATTTCCCACATGTCTGATGGGCGCTATGATAACAGTTTTAAAATCGGACGGAAGTTCCGAAATTACTTCTTTTGTGAGTAGGACGTGAATTTTCCGTAGATAAGGCTGTAATTCCAGATCAAAGGTACGTGTATTTATACAGGATGGGTAAAAAGTGGTTCTGTTTTCAGATGACGTTTTGAAATTACAAGGTTAAGCATAGACACAGATAGGATTGTTTAGAACATTTCTAAAGCCAAAACGGGTTCACATTCTAAACGTCTAAACTTAAATATTTAGATATTTTATAATTTTCAACCTGAAACTTTTTAGAGGTATTTTTACAAATTACATTCCTACTCGTTCTATGTTATTTTACAATAGCTACAGTTTCTGCTTTTTATTATTGTTACATAATTTCTAAAGCCAAAACATGTTTACATTCTAAGCGTATAAACTTAAATATTTTAATGTTTTATAATTTTACAAATTACTTTCTAGCTCACTCTATAAAAATAAATTTTCATATATTTCATACAGTGAAAGTTAAAAAAATCTAGCAATTCCCAATTTTTCATTTTACACTTTTTTGAAAATTTCTAGGAAGAAAGTTTTCACTTAGAAATTCTGGAACTATAAGAGTTATTGACATTTGCATGTAACTTTCCATAGGTAAATTGGTGGACATAATTATAGAGATGAAAGAACTAACAACAAACATGGGCGCTGTCTACTGTTAACTTTTGAAAGGTTATAGAAAGTTTCTGTGCAACATTAACGCAATTTTTAGTAACTAAATTCAATACTAAATACTAAAAATATACTAATTTAGTATCGTGATGAACAGCCTTAAAGATATATAACATTTTTAAAAACTTACCAAAGCAATGTGGTGATCCGATGGGTAGTATTCCTATAACTTATGGCCCACCGACCCAAATATGATTCCAGACGTTTTGGATTTCTTCATTCTGAGGAAGTAGAAGAAAACTTTAATATGAATTCAGACCATTCTGCAGTAATCCTTACTCTAAGTGATAATGTAATTCGAAAAGAAGCCAAACCGACCCTACCAAATCGGAAAACTAATTGGGAAGTTTTTCAAGAGGACTTAAAAAATACTATTCAACTGACCATAACACTAAAAACGAAAAATCAGCTAGATGAAGAACTGGAAAGGTTTATAGTTGAAATCCAGCAAGCTGCATGGACAAACACACCAAAAGTAAGAAGATTAACACCCCCAGGATTACGACCTTATTACTGGAGAAATATTAAAGAAACTACCACGGAAGGCTATTGTTAAATTGACATACCTCATAAATGCAGCATTTCGCCTTAAATATATACCTGATGCGTGAGAAATGGCTAAAATTATCCTTATTCCTAAGCTAGGAAAACCTCTGAATGAAGTGTCATTGTATATACCTATATCATTGTTACCGATAATATCTGTTATTTGAAAAATTACTACTAAAACGACTAAAACTAAAAATTGAAAATTTAAATCTGATCCCTACGCACCTTACGAAGAAAAATATATATGCTCAGCTATATTTCTTGACGTAGCCCAAGCATTTGACAAAGTTTGGCACGCTGGCCTAATACAGAAACTTGAAAAAATGCTCCCTAGACAATATGTCGACATTCTACAATCATATCTAATGGGAAGAATGTTTAGAGAAAAGCAAGACGAGGCATATTCAGAAATGAAAGAAATTAAAGCAGGTGTCCCACAAGGCAGTGTGCTAGGACCGATTCTTTACTTATTATACACCAGCGATATCCCTCAAAAACAATCTGTTAAAATAGCAACAGTTGCGGATGACACTGCAATATTGGCAGTTGGCGAAACTAATACACAGACCTCAGAAAAACTTCAGGAAACGTGTAACAGAATCAATCGATGGACAAAAAGTGAAAAATAAAAATAAATCAGTGCATGTTGATTTTACTCTTCGACCAAATGAACAAAATTAACCTAGATGTAAGACTTAAATGGAAAGAGCACATAAAAAAAAGCGCAAAGAACTTGAACTTAAAAAAATGTATTGGCTTTTAGGAAGAAAATTCAAATTGTCAGTGCACAACAAACTTTCGATTTATAAACAAATCCTAATACCAATCTGGATTTATGGCATACAGCTATCGGGATGTGCCAGCAAGAGTAATATCAACATTATACAAGTTTTCCAAAATAAAGTCTTAAGATGCATTGTTGATGCACCTTGGTTCTACCGAAACGATTATCTTCATAGAGACCT